CTTTAGTCTATATTTTAAATACTCCTTGCTGCTTTGGTTCGGTTTCGTTGAAGCGTCTCTACTTTCCTGTTTCCTCCCGAGCTTATTTTACGATAGCCTTTCCGAAGCGCGCGCTCTCTAGTGGTTTCGTTTTCGCCAAAGCTGCGCAACGGCAAACGTTTCTTGATATATTGTTTTAAATCTTTGCATGTTTTTGATTTGTGACCTGGCAAAATTGGTTTATAATTTGGACTCTGCTGATTTCTTGGACCACGGCTCAAGCTGCTGTAGATGCCGTAGGTGACAGAATTCCTGCTATTATTGCTTTGAGTTTTTTTTTTTTTTATAATAATTTTAATTATATGTATTTATTTATTTATCTATAAAAATTACAGTTGCCTCTAAAAAGCTTCTTGTTGTGCAGCAGGCTGCACCTCTTGTGAACGTGCATGCAATGGGGCATTGCAAAGAGAAAAAAAAGTTTACGGAACATATTTAAGGCTATAAATATGTCACCTGGCATAAAATCCAATCTGACATCTAAGGTGAAAAGCATACAAGTAAGCCCTATTATCAATCTTAAAAAAAAAAAAAAAAAAACAAGTTTGAGTTTAAAGCAAATTATCCACTTGAAAAAAGTGTGTGACAGGACAAGTTAGCACTTGTCTTGTTTACATCATTTCCCTGTCTTTTTTTTTTGCGCTATTTTATATGTTTAACTAACATACACTAGTTAGCCCAGCAACATGCCTTACTAAAACTACACCTATCCATAATAAAATAAAATTAAATGTTATTATTTTTTTTTTTTTTTTGCATTTTACTTTTGACAGACCTAATATCATATGCTGAAGCTTGGTAAGCAGACACCTGCCACCTAGATGCCACTTTGTGAAATATTGCAGCTTGAAAGTTTGAGAAATCTGTCTCTATTATTTGAGAAATCTATGGCACAATCAAATGTGACTTTCCCCATAATTTTCGGCTGGAGAAAAGCACCCTGGAATCAGAATGATTCACCGGAACTTGAAGGAGTCACTGGCTGGCAGACCCTAGCTCGCTATATTGCCGTCCTTTTTTCTTTTTCTTTGCTCGAAATCTGGGTGTTCTTATCTTTATCAGGCTGCAGATAATGCACCCAGCCCCCTCCTGGGGCAGCAATCTATCCTATTTACCTGCCTCCTTGTCAATAGCCTGGCAGAGGCGGGCAGGTGTCGCTGCCAGGTGAGATCTGAGCTTGGATCGCTGTTGTGCCAAAGGTCTGGGATCTCCGTTGTGAAGCGCACTACTATAGAGAAAATTGTTTTCTTTTGTTCGGAAGCTATTTTTTTTTCTCAGTCAGTTTCTCTCTTCATTCAATTGTAATGCCTGGTTTTCCAATCGTGCTGGCAACAATTAATAACGGTCATCCCGAATAACTGCGCTAGCGGGGTCGGCGAATCCCGTGTGATCGAGTAATCTTTCGTTTTCGGATTGTCTTGTCGGTAATTTCTAATGGTCATCTGTAATGATTGCAGTCACTATGTTAAGGGTTGCACTAATTACGGTTATGGCCGTAGATAACCGTAGTACTTAAGTTTAGAGATGAAGAAGAGGAATTATAACCGAGTTGTTAGCTGTGTGTATGTTTGTTTCTATTCTTTGTGTTTACATTCTAGTTGACACTCGTGCCGCTGGTGGTACAAGGCAGTGGCTGTGCGTAGATTGACACCTCGTACCATTGTGGATATAACGAGACAGTGTCTTATTGACCGTCATTTCATCATCTTAATTATAAGGTTGATCCATTCGACAATAACACTTTGTTCCCAAGTTGCATCGGTGATAATATTTAGATGTCTCAAATTCTCATAATCTGGATATTTTCAAGCGTCGTTTCTGCTACAATGATTCCGTTTACAATTATTTAACTTTCAGATCAGTGGAACCAGGGCCGTAACCAGGGGGGGGGGTTAGGGGGTTCTGACCTCCCCCCCCCCCCCCCCCGAAATTTTTTTCTGGGTACGGCCCTGGTCGGTGCACTGGCAGCCAGCCGATTTTAATCTCCACCTCTGCGCACGCGCAGTGGCGCCGGTCGGCTACCGGGTACCAAACCTGGCCGGTTCTCCGGTTTGCTGTAACTCTCCATTATATGCCCGATGCACATGATTCATAGGCGAAAATAAGACGATAGACACTTTCAAAATGACCGCCGTTGTCCCCAAAACCCCCCCCCCCCCCGAAATTTTTTTCTGGGTACGGCCCTGAGTGGAACAACTGCAATTGTTTCTGCACCAGCAGCATCTTATATAATTGTGGCTAACATGTGTGCAGTTAATTGAAGGACATATGCATTAATAGGTGGTATATTGGGCTGAACCAGAATGCAATGCCCCAGAGCTGAACCTTATTTTTTTTATTGTTTTATTGTGTTTAATGTCGCCTGATCATGTTGGCAAGAAATATTCCTTACGGATAATGACAAAAGTGGCGAGGACACAGAGAAACAAATGTGCGTAAAAGCTTTAATTTTGAGCTTGTACACATTCCAGCCATCCTTCTACCTCTAAAAAGTAACTGTGTTACAGTTGCTTGGGGGAAATAAATAACTGTATTACATTTACGAAATTGATTAGGTAACTTGTTGGTGCTTACTAATGTCATTATTTTTCGTTAATTTACGAAAAGGATTGGGAACATTCCGTTAATATAACTGTAAACTAATGTAGGTTCGTGATAAAAACATTTTTTTTTTCACGGTAATTATTCTTGTTTTTTGAGAAACTGAGGTTTTCCCAATAGTCAATACTCGCATGTTTGCTCCCTTTGATTTTAATTTTTAGCGTACATAGAACCAGAGTACTTTAATATATTGCTGGTCACAGATCTTTGTAACGCTATGGAAGAGCTTGTTAAGCGACCATGTGGGGCGCTGGCGTCGGCAAGGGCACTAGGAGCCGGCAATCTAGCCTGCACTGCTGGAAGTCTGGCAACCCGCAAGCGTGTCGGAATTTGGAACTCATTCTGAACGAGCCACCTATAAGTTTGGATAATGTGTCGTCACACTGAGACTGTTTCTCTTTAATGTAAGCGTCTTCGTCTCTTTATACTGAATCGACTGCTCATTCTGATGTATTTTAAACTATCTCCAGGGTATGATCAGTTTTACTCCTGTTTCTCTTCTCCAAATGACCTTTGAATACGCCCTCACCGTAAAAATTCAGCGCTGCGAGTGGCGCCATCTGTACTCCGTTTCACGATAAGGTGAACCGCGGAGGCTACGACCCCCATGACCTAATAAGAGCGTCAAAGCAGTGCACGTGACAACACGTCGCTGGAGTGTTTGTATCACTACGCCAAATGCGTCTGTCGTCTGTGCTGAATGCGGCTGTCGTCTGCTGGCCAAGAGTTGTCTGCTGCAAAACCAGACAACTTCGGTTGAACGTCCACTGCCGCAACATTGCCATCCCTAGAGTAGAGACCTCTTTTTCTCCTTATCTGTCTTTTCCTCTCCCTGTTGCTCCAGGCAGTTTTGCTGCAATTTCTTGTGGTGCCTTCTCTCACGAGTTTTGAGACGATTTGGTGGTTGTGTCTGGAATAGTTTTGCGTTGAAATCTGAAAGGTAACTGTAACCACGTTACTCTTTACAGTTATGTACTTTCAATAAGTAGTAACCCTGTTATAGTTAAAAGTTATTTACACTAAACAGTAACACATTACAGTGACTATAGTCCGTTGCAACTCAAGGAGGTAAGGCGAGGGTAAAACGGGTTGGCAAGGAGGAAGCAGATGGAACACTAAAGAGGGAAGGAGATTTCCCCCTCCCTTCTCCAGCCTTCCGTCTGCTTCCTCTTCCCCGGCCTGCCTTTCCCTCGTCCTACCTTCTTGAGTTGCAACGGACTATAGTTATGAAATTGCAGAGGGTAAGCAAATTGGCGAAGGAGGGAAAGCATACTTTCAGTTCTTAACTTCTAAGCCAGGTGGCGCAAGCTACCGCCCGATATAAAGGGTGCAGCCGTTAGCATCCATCCATCCAGTTACTGGCCAAGGCTGGTGCATTCTATATCTCTAGGAATGAAAAGCTTGTGTTTGTTGCATACAGAGCATAACATAGCTTAAAACAGCCACATAGCCGCTAGTGCAGGTGAATGTGCTTCTGCAGGGGCACCGACCTATACAGTGGCATTTAGCATTTAAAGAAACACTGAATGTAGGGAGAAGAAATTCTTTTTTCCTATCTGGTTAGGACATGCATGTCTTAAATAAAACGTTTTAAGGAAAAAGGCTTTTCTTGCCCCTTTCGGGTCATTAAATGGTACAGCAAACAAAGGCTCCAAACTGTTGTAGCTTATTATGTTTATAGGAGTCTGATCTGGTTGGGTGAACGCAATGATTTTATGCGACTTACAAACAAACCCCGAATTTAAAGATTGACTACCATAAAAAACGGCGCAAGTGGCCACTTTGTTCAACCGCCCACTATTAACATTTCTCAAACTTGGGAATTTTGCAAATCAATCGTCAAGTGCCCGATTTGACCGTACAGGCGCCCATGCCTAGATTAACCTTTCGGTGAAAGTGGAGCAGGCGCTCCCCCGGTATTTCACGCTGTCTTTTTTCTCAGGGTCAATGCTTAAGTAGTAGTCTCTGTCTTTTTCCCTTATGGTGGCAATCTTTTTTTTTTTTTTTGTCACATGGCATAGCTCTTGGTTATAGGCAGATGGTAAAATACCAAAAAATTTACAGATGCTTCCTGGCATATTCTGAATGTGGCACAGTTCTACGCATGCATTCTCAAAGTTGATGTACTGGTCCCTGACGCTGCAACGTTCAGTGACGGTTTTGTGCTCGTGGTTGAACTTGCGCACGTCCCTTTTTTTGGAAGTGTCTTATCTTGCCGCCTCGTAGGGGGCGGAGAAATCCATGCAGGCCAACCCCTAGACAGTGCCTCGCGCTTTCCGTGAAAATGCATTCGCTTGTGGACACCCGCTAGCTTTGTCGACAAGGCTATCTGTGCTCAGCGCTGTCTCTGCCCCTTGCAGGAATTGGAAGACGCTCTGCTCGATCCCGAGAGCCTGGTTGTTCCCGACATCTGTGCCCGCCTTCTCAGGTTCCTCACCAGGCAGGCAACTGTTCTGTGAGTGCGTCCATTCGTTTGGGCTGGGATGCGCTGTCTGGCTGAGTCGTGCACTGAAAGAGTCTAGTTTAATCCAAAAACAATGTAAACTTTTTTTTTCGTGTCCCCGAAACAAAGTTTTTGCACATAGTCCATACCCGGTGTATAGTCCGCAAAGGCAGATTTGGGGTCAAAAATATAAGTTTTTGCTTAGATAGTCCGCACGCGGTGCATAGTCCGTTCTTAGTGCCTAATTCGAGCGTAAAAATTATACACAGCACACCTTGACAAATGCCTGCTGTACTAGCTCACAAAGGAGCTCGTATCGTACATAAATCACCGTTAATATAATATTTTATTCATGAAATGCTTTACGTCTTGTCATAGTGATCTGGAAAAATACAGAGCCTTGTATAGTCTGCACCGGGCGGGTAAAATTTTAACTTTTAAACATGTATAGGCCATGGGCTATACCGCAGAAATACATTATATTTTCTTTTTTATTGCATAAATAATTTACACATTGCGGATCGCTCAGTCTCCACCCAAACGTAGCCCTAGCAGTCTGGCCAGATGTCAAGGTTTCGGAGCTCACCGTAATGCTACTAAAAAGTTGATATTGGGAAATTTTAATCCCTTGCCTACTGATAAGGAGTGTCACTTGTGCCACCCGTTACGGACCATAAAGCCTGACCACAAGCGTGACTCATGTTTTGGTTGCGGCGCTTGTTTAGCGAGCTCACTGGCAGAAGGCAAAACCACCCCTGTTGCTGCATGTACCTTGAACAGTTTGGTCGTTTGTTTTGCTGTTTGACGAAAGGGAACGCTCCAGTTAGCTAGGAAAAAAAAAAGCAGTCGCTTGCGAGCGTTCACGCTATAACAACAGAACTTTGGCGCGGAGGTCTACTTAAGCCGACAATGAGATCCAAAACCTTCTTTTTGACTGGGATTAATGCTCGGGCATATGTGACGAAGCCCTTTGCACTTTTTCGCGCCTCCTCCTTCCCTGTATCCTTTCCACTTTTTACCTTGCCCCACCCCTCACAGCCTTTGAGAGGGGAGCACTAAGAGGATTATCTTTCTTTCACAAAACCAAGGTTTTGTATGTCGGCCTTTAAAGGGAAGCTACGGAGCTTCTTGAAAAAAATGAGTTAGAAGTGAATTCAAGTGTATTTTTACCTCGTGAACCCGAATACCAGAACCATTTGCCGCGTAAGTATTGTTAAACGGGAGAAAAACGCGAAAGAGAGTCGCTGTCCGTGACGTCATCGACGGATCTTTTGGCTTGCCAAGGCTAGGGAGGCGGGGCTTCAGCCCTATTTTCAAATTGCTCTTATGGCTCTCCGGCGCGTCGCATTGAAATATAATTTTGATATATGTTATTCTAAAGGCCAAATGAACGCAATTGAAGCGTTTTTTCTCAAATCTAGAAGTGCCCCATCTTCCCTTTAAGGAAGATTTTCGACTGCCTGCTTCGTGATAATTAAAAAAGATCAGACGTGTGCCTTTAGAGTTACAGCATGTTCAATTGCCTGGGTTAAAGAAACACTGACACCCTCCAAAATTTTTTTTTTAAATTTTTTGTCAGGCAATTTAAAATGGTTTCAGAAGACTACCCAATAAATGTTGCGCTGCAGAGTTACGTATATCTTTGATAAAGCCAAAAAACTCAGCTGCTCGAAAGCGAAACCGATACACGAGCACGGAAGCTCATGGCCGGAAGTCACGTAGCTACACCAGGTCGCATTTTTTCTTTTCTCCGCTTCTCCGGCCTTTGAAGCAGATGACGAAGTTGAGTGCACCGTTTGTCGTGCGGTTCTTTCACACTTGACTCACTCAACGTTTTGCACTTGAAGATCGATTGTCGGTACCACGAACGACAGCCCCAAAGTAGTGGCCCCACGTCCGTCGCAGCGTCGGTACGTCGTGCGCCGCCACCGCGTCGCCATTGCTTGTTTTGTTAACCCTCCTTCCCCAGAATGTAAAGGCTTTCCTGAAGACAGCTCGATAAAGAAGTGTGTCTCAAAATCGCGCGAGGTTGACTCTCCCTTTCAAATGTCTGTTTGCCCTAAAGTGCTGAACTCTTTAGGTTAGGACCGTATTCTGAAAAATCAGGTCAGTAAATTTTACTGTTTCTTATGCCTCACCCTCGTTAAGAGCTAGAAAACATCCTACAAATGCAGGTTAGTCTATTTTCTTGAAAGTGGAAAGAAGAAAAAGAAAACACGGTGTTGAGGAGCCAGCAATCTTTTCGGTAAAAAAGTTTTGGTGCAGAGCAAAGCTAACTGGTCATCTCTTGAGCGGCCTTTGGCTGCCATTCACTGTTTTATGGCTACTTGACATGTAGCTTGTAGGCTTCCGACACTTGAGGCAATGTTGTTTGTACACTCCAAAAGTCACCCAACTGCTTTAGAATACGAAGTTGGTTTGAATGACTCTTTGACCGATTTGGTAGGACCAGCTTCTCGCATTCCCTCTAGCCTCCCCTTCTGGTTTCTTCACTTTTTATACTCTTTTGACTCTGAAAAACAAGAAAAGACACAATACTAACTTTCCTAAATTTTTTAAACCATTCCTAGTCACCACTTGGTCGTACTTATGTAGTGATGATCCACTCCGAACTTGTGCTCCTGGCTCACTGGTGAATCTCCCCCCCCCCCCCCCCCCCCTTTTATTTCTTTCTAATGCGGTGGTAATCGGAGATGTTCTGAACCTGGCGAGGTTCGAGTTTGACCAGGTTCAGCCGCTTTGAGCTGTCACCTCGAAGTTGAACAAATGTTGAACATGAGTTAGGCTATTATGCGCATGCATATAAATTGTAAACGAGTGCCCTTCATATACCGAAAAATCTCGGAGACGAGGGGACACAAATATAGGGGACAGACACAAGAGCGTCTCATATTGAGGCGGTGTTGCATTTGTCCCCTTTTTTTGTGTCCTTTCGTCTCTAGGGTCATTGAGCCAAAGACGACAGCTCACCAGCTCGCCTGCACAAGCACCCTTATTTCTTGAGCTAGGTGCCTCCGGAAGAGGGGACGCAGGATGTTCAGAAATGTAGCTGAATCGGTTAAAGTTTACGTTTGCCTTGAAATCAAGTAGACACAGATAACTTTTTTCTGGGAAATTCGAAAATTTCAGGCAGCAGTCAGGCTACGTTCTGTCCAGGAAGTCGAACTCGGTTGAACTTTGCCAAAAGATTGCAGGTTGGCGGCGCCAGTGGAACCTCGAGGTTGGGCTAACGTTTGCAACACGTACGGCGGTTGGTGTTAGGCTGTCTGCTAACACCAACCGGGCGAGAGGGAAGGCAGATATGTCCTCTCCCTCGAAAGGAGCAACAACTGTGGCCAACTCGTGCACGGTGCATTTGTGCCGATTAAAAGAAAGGCTTTCGTTTGGGAAACGGAAGGTGCGAGGAAGCAGCAGTTGGTCTGCCTCTCCTTCAGGGCATAGGAGAGAGAGACGTGCGAGGTCACGACGGGAGCGACACTTGCGACAATCGACCACCTGGTCACGACCTAAACTGCCGCAGGTGGTGACGCGAGAGAAGGGGGGTTGCTTGTCGAGCCGCGCCTTTGTCTTTTGGTTTATTTTTCGCCCCGTCACGTTTTTACGCACTGTTTTCTTCGTGTCTGCTGCTGGGATTCCGTCTCCACGAGAAATGTCCTTTGTCAGAGCGCAGTCTCGGATTACATTTGATTGGGGCAACCCCATTTAGAGGAGAGTGGAATTGTGGTAGGGTAGCCTGTCCAACATTTCTACCACCTGTTCATTTCCTTTAGATGTGGTTCTTTTTTTGTGCTCATATGTGGGCTTTATATTACAATCGTGTAATTTTCTTCGGAACGACATGGTTCGAGGGATTTGGATAGTTGTTTTTCGCCGACTGAATTAGTTTACGATTATTAACAAGAAGTGGGCAATTGTTGTACCCTGGCAAATTGAAGTCCTATTTACGAACATCACCTGGAAATTTTCCGGGGTGGTAAAGACGGGAGCAGGACGCGGCAAATCAGAAGCGCCGACGTAGCTGGTCCTGAGAGAGAGGAGGAGAAAGAGAGCGACGGAAGAGCGGAGAAAGAAAGCAGACGAGAGGTTAGGCGTGCTCGTTTTGCCGCGACGAGTTGATGTTGTTCGAGTGCTCAACAACTTTTTATTATTTTATACAGTAGGCAATGCTGGTGTTTTCGTGAAAATTAAAGATATAAAAATCTAGACCTTGGAAATTATGTTTTTCTGCTTCTTTCTGTATATCAAGTGCTGCCAGCAGTATGGTCCATTGGGACCACCCATGTTAACGTCTATGCTCCACCGTTCCGAAGCGAAGCGACATGCAAAGTTCCATTTCTTTAAATGAGGGGTCCCCAAACTTTATGGCTAAGGGGCCTGATTGAGGATCTATCGCTGTCTCGAGGGTCAGGATAAGCGTCTAAAAACAAAGTAGAAAGATAGAGCAAACATTTAAAAAAGAAGAATATAAGGTAGATGAGTATGTCTACTTTATTTATAAATCTAATATTTCGCTAATTATAACATTGTGCAATGCTTGGGACCCAGAAAACTCACCAGGCATAAATCAAAGTATATGCACTTTGGCATGTTCTGACAGGGCAAAAGACTAATGAGACTGATAGAACTGTTGCTGACAATATGCAATAGATATGACACAGGATGCTAAGCACAATGTATACATGGGAATTGGGTCTAATAATAATAATAATTCTTTATTATTCCTTGCTTCAGAACGACCGAAGTCTTGATATAACGATGCTGGTGATCATTGTTGCCAGATGGTCCCACCAAAAAACCTCCCAAACAGCTGGAAGGTATAGCCCAAATATAGCCAAAGCCGTAAAAAAAATATTGCCGAAAAAGTCAAGGTCTAAAAACAATGGTTTTTAACCTTCAGCAATATTTTTACAAACATGCAAGACTCTTTACATTCTCTTTTTCAACCCTCAAATGAGCCACATTTGGTTTGCATTATGTCACTTGTGGATGTTACGGAAAAGAAGAAAAAAAAG